AGCATAAATGCCTTCCTTGCTTCCACCCAGCAATCACGCTTCTTTTATGTTATTCGTTCTCTGCCAGGGATGAAGCCCACGGCGATAGTCGTCTGAGAATTGTCGGATATACTCCCGTCTTGGCTGGTACTCGAGAAAGTCTGCCGATGGGAAATTCGGCCGCTCACTGGTCTCTTGTGGGTAGAAGTAGTTGTCGTCAAAGAAGACCCAAGCTCGTTGCTGACCGATCTTGTATCGGAGTTTCTCCATTCTTGACCAATGTTGTACTTCGTACCAGGGCCTACTAGGGCTCAAAGAAGGCTCTTTGTACATAAATGAATCACACTCATGCTTATCTCGCTCGTTTTGGAATAAACCCCAGAGGTGTGCTTTCCAGCCCTCATCTCCAAATCGACAATTGTTTGACCACGTATTTTGGAATTGAACCCGGAGATGGTCTCTTCCATTTGGCTCACTCATATCGTAATGGAGGAATTTGGTGAGATAGTCAAGCCCAAGTATCGAGAAGTAGGACGCACAATCGCGGTACTTGTCTGAAGGCCAGCTGGGTCTCAACTCAAACTCTGGGTCTTGCCTGCGTTCAGGGGGGTCCGTGAAATCCAACCCTAATTTAGGGGTGTGCCTGTTTGCGTCGAAATAGAAGGTGTCAGGGAACCTTAGGTCTGTCGAGAGACTTGAAAGCTCAGCATCCGTACATTGTGCGAAGAGTGCACCATAGAGAGAACAAAGATATCTGTGAATACACCCAACAGCTTCCCATTCTGCATTACTGACTTTGCGTTTTGGCAGATGGTTAGGTGTGTACAAAGTGTTGTTGGCTTGGCACAGTAGCTCGTATTTCAGGAATGCTTTGACAAATCTTTTTCTTTCCAAGGATGTCAGATTCGCAAAATTGAATCGTGCTGTTATCTTGGCGCCTTTGAAGATAAGGCATCCTTCAGCCGACGATTGTCGAATGTCGGGTAGAAAGACGTGTGCCCACGAGGGAATGGTAGAAGTAGCTTTAGTAATATAGTCCTCAGCCAGGAAAAGGATTCGATTGTGTAATTTGTTCAGTTGGTCCAGCAGGTGGTCATCCTTATCTTTCAGTGGGTCAGGTGGCTGGGACCTTCCCCAAGCCGAAATATGTAAGTCTATGGGCTCTGAGCGGAGCCTGCCTTGAGCTTCCCGGCCAGAATGCTGGAGAGGTGGGAATAAAAGGACTGCCATGGCGTCTTGTATCATCTGATCGTTGAATTCGGCCGCAAGAACTTGTCGTGTAATGTACTTCTTGTGCACGCAATATTGCTGAGGCATCGTCGGGGAGGCTTCAATCAGGCGCAAGATCGTCGACTTGCATCGCGTGTAGGTCAACACCTGAAGTCGAATCTCCGGGGGTAGCTTACCGAACGGATCATAGACCGTCATCTTGTCGCATATTCATAGCCGTGTTGATTCGTTGTATTGATTTAACCTGTACGCGTTG